TTATCAGATTTGCCGGACTATCGGAAGGGGGGGCTATGAGGGGTCTGGGGTGGCATCCCCCCCACCCCACCGCACCCCAGGCCCCTCATAGCCCCCCCTTCCGATAGTCCAGCATATCTGATAATCTGGCACCCCGTGGGTCCTAAAGGTGCCGGATTATTGGAAGTTTACTATAATACTTGCCAGCGTGAATAATACATGCTGTCTTTGTTTTAAATGCTGACAGCAAAAACAGATTGAGTACATCACTGCATATGTTGCAGAGGACTGTTCTTATCTGTTTTAAATTATACCTTTTATTTAGAAAAGTGGTTCTCAATCTATTTACAATTGTGGGTTGCATCCAGCACTACTTGTGTGGCCCTGAGGATGTCACATGGGCCACGGCTCTGTGGTGATTGGGCTGCAGGTTGAGAACCACTGATATAGAATGTAAGTAATAACATATATTATGCTCTAGCACACTAGTTGTAAAAGTGATTTATTTAAAAATAACTTTTAGTGTGCAACTTTTTAAAATGTTTGAAAAGTGGATTGAAAATCCAAAATATACTTTAATAATTTGGCTTTTTTCAGGCCTTTTAAATATTGGAGACAGTGCTAATTAATTGCCATTATATTACTACCACAATATGCACCAGTTAAATAAAATGGTGACCGCTGTACTCTAATCTAGCCTACCTAAGTTTGATTTGAGAATGCAGTTATTTGTAATATGTAACTTACTACAATTGTTATTTTTTTTAGGTATGGCTTACGAGAATTTGTGGTTATTGCTCCAGCAGCCAATCATGATGCCGTTCTTAGTGAATCCAAATGTAACCTTCTTCTGAGTTCAGTTTCGATTGTGTTGGGGAACACTGGCTGGTAAACAAAGTGCTACATATCCAGATATTACTTTTATTATAACTTGGAAGATGCTTCATAGGAAGGAAAAATATTAAATCAATAGTAACACTGTAGACTTAATCTGTTACCTGCCACATAAAGAAACAAAAAATTGTGTGTCAATAGAAACTTAAACTAACCTTAATAGCACAGGATTCTTTCAAAGGTAATTATCATTTTAATGCACTGAACCATAAATATGACATCTGTTTAATAGGCTTTTTCAGAGTGGGAAAAACTTCTTGTTCTGAAATATCAAAACCATAAGACGTTGGTCTACAAGAGACGATTATCATTTATCATAGACTCATAATGTCGGACTGGAAAGGACCTTGAAAGGTCATCTAGTCCACCTGTATGTGCTGAGGAAGGACCAGGCATTCTTCATCATTCTTGAGTGCTTTATCCAATCTGTTCTTAAAATCTTCCAGTGATAAGAATTCCAAAACCTCCCTGGTAATCTATTCCAGTACTAAGCTTTCTTAAACTTAAGGTTAGTTTTTTCCTAATATCAAGTCCTGGGGGAATTCTGCAGATTTACTATACTCCAGTTGCAGAATTCCCCAGGACTATAATATCTAATCTAAAACTCCCTTGCTGTAGATTAAGCCCTTATCCTTTGATTAGTTCATACAGACAACAATTGATCACTTTTGTCTTTATAACAGCCCTTCATGTATTTGACGACTATTGTCAGATTCTCCTGTTTTCTTATCGAAAAACTAAATGTACCAAACTTTCTGAAACCTTTCCTCAGAGGTCAGATTTTTTTTTTTTTTTAAACATCTTAGTTTTCTGATACTCCTCTGAATTATTTCCAGTTTATCCACAGGTGCTACAGGACTCCTTGTTTCACCCCATATTGTTTGCTGGTATTCAGTCGGATTCACTATAACCCCCAGTAGTACTACAGTGTAGCCAGTTATTTCCCTTTTTGTGTTTGTGCATTTGGTTTTTCCTTCCTAAGTGTAGTAGTTTGTTTAATTTTATATTTGTGAGACCAGTTCTCCAATGTGTGAAGGTCATTTTGTATTCTAATCCTGTTCTCCAGATTATTACTTATAATCAATCCCTGCTTTGTGTCATCTGTAGGTTTTACAAGTATACTTCATTATCCACATCATTAATTAAACTGATTTTTTTCAGTATTTAATATACATTTTGTATAACGTTTAGTTTATAAAATTATTAAAAATCTGATGGCATAAATACTGTTACATAGTTACAAAATGTTCATTGTTTTAACATTTTTATAATCCACTGCTTCAATATTTTGCAGTCAGGTACCACTGTTTGTGCAAATACATCATAAATGGAGAAGAATGTATATTGGAGAATGTCAGGGCCCTGGAGTTAGAACTGACTTTGAAATGGTTCATCTTCATAAAGTACCAACTCAGTATACTCATTTATCAGGTCTACTGGACATCTTTAAATCCAAGACAGTAAGTATGTGTGTATACTAGAAATCATGCCCTTTAACCAATGAAATGTAGGCTATTTCTTTTCAAATCAACAATTTTAAAAAAGATTTAGGCAATGTAAAAATTAAAGGGGAAGAAAAAGGGGGCCTATGCTTTAATCAACATGGCCTGCCTGTTTTTCCTTTTTGTTTAATTAAAGGCTCTACTGACCTTTTAAACATAGAGCAGCCATACTAAATGGCAATGTGAGTACTAGTTGGAATGTTTTTTCATTAATTCAGCTAGTTCTGAATCTTATCAAACGTTCCAAGCTTTCTTCTTAATGCAAACTGTCAGTTTTTGGAAGAAAGTCGCTTGAGCTTCAGTTCAGCAAGGTACTTGAGCATATGCCTAACTTTCAGCATGTGACTAGTCTTGTTACCTCCAGTTTGACTGTTTATATGTTTGAAGTTTTTAGGTAAGTACTTAAATACCTTGCTGAATATGACCTTACTGTTTATTATAGGATAGTTATTGTAAGGATGCTGTAGTTATTGCTGCAAAACGTTCAAGTAACTGTTTATAATGAAAACCATCAACAACATTTTGAAAAAAGAACTGTTGGACTCAGCTTGGATAAATTTGATAGTATTTTTTTCTTGGAGTGCCCAGAATTTACTAAGCTCCTCTCAAATCTGTGGTCCCTACCTTTAAGAATTTAACACTCTATTAGTGAGAGGCATGTCAGGGGAAGAAGAGATGAAGAACATTGTGGCAATAAGGTCACATGACTACTGTAGTAAGGTAGACACATCTTGATGGGGTTTTTTTAGTATCTCTTTCTCATAGTCAGATAGTGAAAGTGAGTTTGTTAGAAGTTTTCCTTGAAAGTTTGGTAGAGATCACTTTGATCTTCTTTACTTTGGTAGGAATTGGAGTTTATCTATTCTTTTTAAGAAACTTTGCAGACATTCTTTGCACTTAAATCAGTTTCACGAGGAATTTGACTGAGACCATTTCATTTCAGATAGGACATCAAGCACCAGTCAGATAGTAATAATTATTTTGTGTGTGTTGGATTTGATCTAGTTCCAAAAGACATAGAATAATGTATGCTATTACCAGCCTTTTTCTAGTTTAGTTCCTGTTTGTGTTGCTTTGAAATAATTTTCTTATCTGTGCATCCTCATCATCAGGGCTCGCCGAGCCACGGCGAGCCCCGCTCGCCAGCTGCGCTGTCCAGCATTCTGTGCACACGCAGATCGCCCGACCCGGCTCTTCCGGGATGTAATCTACTTGCCATGGGCGAGTAGATTACATAGATTGTCGAGCCCTGCTCATCACTGATTTCAAAATATCTGTCATAGAACCATATTTTTTTGACAATATTCAGGCTAGCGATGTCATTGTGTAGATGACTGTGATTAACTAATAAGGTCGGGCTTAGCAGTTAATCTTGTTGACTCTACACATTCCCTCCCCTTGCTGCCTCTGATGGGGGAGACAGGAACTGGTGCCCATGAGGAGATGACTTAAAAGCCAGCTCCCCATGAGCACTGGATCTACCTCTCCCCTGTCCCCTGCGTGCTGCTGGCTCTGATGAAGTGGAGAGCTGATAAGCATGGGGAGCCAGTTTTCAAGCAGGCTCCCATTGAATGCTGACTCTGCACACCCACCACCCGCTGCGGCGGGGGGGGGGGGGGAAGGCAGGAACCAGTGCTGGGGGGAGCCAGCTTAAAAGCTGGTTGCCCCCCAGCACCAGTTCCCCAGTGCCTCCTGCCCCCTCCCCCACCTCCCACTGCTGTCTCTGTCAGAGGCAGCAGCATGGGGAGGGGGGCAGATGGGAGGGAAGGCTGCCGCAAAGCAGCCCCCAATCTATGGTGGGCCTGCTGCACATTCCATGGCAGCAGCCTCTGTCAGCAGGGAGCTCGGACCCCCATGGACAGAGGCTGCTGCCTCTGTATTAGGGGCAGCAGGCAGCTGGTCTGTGCAGAGCGCCGGTTTTAAAACAAGCTCTCTTTGTGGACCAACTCTGTCTGCTACTCTGTGCTGCTGCCCGTGTATGAGAGGTAGCAGAGCATGGTGGCAGTTGGCTCCCCAGCGGAGCACTGACTGCTGATTCTGCTCTTAGCAATTACACAACTATCTGATAGTTCCTAAGATTTCATGTGGTTACATGACTATTCAGTTACATGATATCTAACATCCCTAATTCAGGCAGCCAGTCTTATTGAAGTCAGGTTTACTGACTGAGTACAACAAACTTGATTTGTCTTGTGTTCCAAAAGTAGTAAATTTGATTAATTTTTTAATTGTGAATTTATACTAACTGGCCTATTGTGTTGTTTTTACAA